GGCAAGTCAGTTTTTGAAATTTAAACCCTTTATTATGCTTTATTTATTATTTAATTTTTCAGGAGCTTGCCTCTCAAACCTAATCAAGAAAGTTAAGAAGATTGTAACATTCTTTCGGCAGAGTGAGGTGGCCACTTCTGCATTGAATCAATGTCAAATAGATGCTGGCAAGAAAGAAAATGAAACTTTAAAATTAATTCAAGAGTGCAAAACACGATGGAATTCAGCATATGAAATGATTGAAAGGTTTCTAAAACTCTCTGACTTCGTGGCCCTAACTCTTATGAAAGTACAAAGGGAGAAAAAAACTAAGGCTACCCCACCAAATATGCTGAATAATACTGAACTTGGCGAATTGAGAGAGGTACGCCAACTGTTGCGGCCGCTTGCCCAAGCCACTATTGAAGCTAGTGCAGATCAACATGTAACAATCAGCAAAATCATTCCCTTGGCAAATTTAATGAGAGAGGTATGTTTTACGACTCAACCTGCCTGATCTGTCTTTTTATTACCTTTTAAGAGCTTAAAGTAAAATTTATGTTAATGCTTTCCTTTCAGAAAATTGAGGCCTTCTTACCGGAAAGTGGCATAGCCTTTAATCTAAAAGAGCAACTTTTGAATGACATTATAACTAACTTTGGACATCTAGAACATGCTAAGCCGTTCGCGGCAGCTACACTCCTAGATCCTAGATTTAAGAAGATCTCATTCAAATCGGATACAGCTCGGGACGCTGCTGTTACCTATGTTGGTGAGTAGGAGATGTCAGTTGTGGAATTCCCTCTACCTTCTCCCCGCATGGAAAATTATGGCATCAGATTGTCATCAGTTTGTCATCACGCCGATGACAAACGGATGGCAAACTGATGACAACCCGATGGTAAATTTGATGACATACCGATGACAAACGGATGACAAAACGGAAATCGCCGTTTGTCATCAGTATGTGATCAATTTGCCATCAGTTTATCATCATTTTGCCATCCATTTCCCATCGGATCACAAACGGATGGCAAAATGATGATAAACTGATGGCAAAACGGCCCGATCCGAGCAAGGGCTAGGGCGCTGTTGCCAAGTGGGCACTCCCCCTTACTACGTCACGAAACCGTGACGTCATGGACCAGCCGACCACCCCGCCCCCCGCCCGGCCGCCCCTGTCTGACTGGTAATGCTGTTCGCACCTTGGACCGGTGAGTGTCAGGAGAAACGGAGTCAGGCAAAGTCAGTTGTAATTTCTCTTACACTTTTAATAACGATAACTTCATTCAAGTTCAAACAAGTTTAACAAGTCAGAAATGTACAAGTAGTCATCTTTCAGCCCCACATTAATGAGGACAGACTGAAGGGATGAAGGATCTACTAGATTCACAGAATTTTCAAGCTTACATTTAGAAACATGCTGAACTTGACAAATATTTGATCGAAAAGCAATTTCTCTACTCATAGTTCTTACTACTGCTAAGTGCTTTTTATTACAATTGCATGAATACTCAATGCATCCACAAACCTTCACTTTTATGAAAAACTCAATTCTTCCATACAGCATAACACCATTTACACAATACTTGGCAAATGAAGAATCACAGTGCCCTCTACCATATGACCTAGACACATACAGTAGTTTGCCCTTCATTAAGCGGTGATATACTCTAACAGACAAGACATTTGGATGCATAATAATTCTGGAAGTCACAAGTTCATTTAACACCCAGGACTTATCATTGTCCAACTGAAAATCAAGACCTACACATAAAAGACCATCAGAAATTTTACAATTAATTTTTAAAATCATCCATTTCTGTTTTAACTTTTTGCAATAGGTCTTGGCAGGACCCTCATTCATATTGTGAATTTTCAGGGGTAAATCTTTAATTATGTTTAACTTTGAGTGAATTTGCAAAGCAGCATGCCGAGAACCATGAACAAAATTAAGAACTCTGCCATTCATGTCCTCAAACTTAAAACAGCTACTTATAAAGAGTGGGCCTAGATTTCTAACACAACTACCAAGATGAAGGACCATATGAATATTGTGGCTCATATGCCTCAGACCATATAATGTCTCAAAGTCTCTGACAAATTTGTCTAACAACATTTCTGCTAAAACAATATCCTCTGGTGTTATGCTACCCGAATTCAGTAAGGCTACCCCTTCAACAAATAGGAGGAAATTGTCAAAGTAATCTTTGGGGAGTATCCCACACAGTACAAATAAAGAGTAGTAAAATAAAAATGATCTGAATTCAGTAGCCTTCCAATATGCTAATTTATCTACACCTTGAGGATGTCTCTGCACAAAGTGCGGAGGTCTGATCATGGACATTCTCTCATTAAATTCTTTTATCTTACTATGGACAGAAAATTTTTCATTCCTATATGCATGATCAAAGAGCAAAGTCAAAATTTGGCGGGTAACACCTAAATATAAAGCATGCATTGAATCAATTGCAGTACTTGTAAATATATCAGACACAAAATAAGACAATGTGGTTGGTCCCTTGATACCTGAACACTCAGGCTCATTAAGAAGAGCAGTGTTGTGAAGCACCCTATTTTCAACAGCATATTTTACCTGATTTATATAATCAGCCTTACAACGTAGCGGAAAATCTTCTTGATAAGGGAAAACAGTCACATCACCTGTCCTTTTAGATTTTTCCCCTCTGCAATAGCAGATATGGCAAGAGTAAAAACCAGAATGGCTTTTAATATTTAAAAACATAGCCACAGCTGGGGCATCACACGTCCCACACAAAACAATTACTTTCACTTCAAGTTGCTGCTCTATACCATGTACATGAAAATTAACCCCTTTCCTCAAACTTTCTAACTCGTCATGAATTGGCTGCAGAAATACATTAGGGTGAGGCTTCTTTACACTTCCCCAAATACCTGCTACTAGCATGTTCTCACTTTGGAACCGTTTATCTGGAGGCAACTCATTAATTACAAAGTACCAAGCCCATAATGAGAAAGAACTAGAGTTAAACAATTGTAGACCATCTGTGTTCCACAATAATGATATATTAAAGGGGGATGCAAGTACACTTTTTTGGGCCTCTTTATACAGATTGCCATCATAAACATCTTCAATTCCATTCTGATTTTGTTTTACTCTACTATTTTTATGCTGAATGTAATCAAGAAAGTTAGGTCTACTATATAACTTTGCAATTTGGGAAATCAGGGAAAAAGATAAAAAAAATATTACAGAGCGCATTGGGTCAGTGCATGTATCACACAAATCTGTGGAAGAACTACGGTATTTGTAGCACACACTACAATAGTAATGCACTCTGACAGGTTCCTCATAAGAATCTAGCAATTTGAAGAATTGATGAGTACTTTTAAAGTAATTACTATCTTGAGGTAAATGCAAACTTATTAATTTCAGTAGTCTTCCCAGACCTGCCCCACTTATGTGCTCAGATTCTATGAAGGTCAATGTAGCAAGAAAGCTCTCCAAAAGATTGACTTGTGCTCCAGGATATATTGGGGAATTCTTGTCAGGGCCCCTATATTGATCTGTTGATATGTCTTCATCATCCAGCTCCATATCTATGTGTGTAGGGTCACATGCAGCCTCAGAGTAGTCAGTTGACATTACTGGCTCATCATCAGTCTCTGGTATTGGTTCAAACAAAGTAGGGTAGTCTGCAAAAAAGACAAATGATGTTAGCAACAGGCATAAAAAACAAGGACATTCCACAAAATTTATTTTATAGAAGTTCATTACCTGTGAGGGGAACACCTTCACTCATAGTACAGAAACCAAGCTCACCACTATTTGGCAAATTTTCAGGACCACCCACGGGTAAAACATCACGGGCTACAGAACAATAAAATAAATTATACAGAAGAGAGCTGACATACTTAGAATATAATGTGGGTAGAAAAATTTACCTGTGGCAGATTCGAGAGGGGGAAAATTTCCACTGGACTGAATAAGTGGTTCTAAAACAAACAGATTAACAGGCTCAGTAAAATTACCCACAGATAAATATTACATCTACTGAAGATGCAATTAAAAACATCCCAACTTCAAAGAAAAACGTACCAGATATATCCACAGGACAGCAGGGGAGATTCTCAGGTATGTTGGAAACCAACACCTCTTTACAACCAAAATCAGGAATGACATAGGGGTTTAACTCTTGTTGGATAGAACAGGAGCTGGCAGCACCTACATTACAATAAAGTAACGCTCGATTTCAGTTTAAGACAATAACAAAATGGAACCAGCATTTAAAATGTACATTAATGTCGCATGACTCAGACCTGTCATTGAGAAGGGCCTTGACGATGAAGTAGAAGTAGGCAGCAGTTTAGTCAAGTTGGGGTGTGAGCTGATATCAGAACCACAGGGTTGTAGTAACTCAGAAGGGCATTCGTCAGCGTGCAGCCCGGATTCTACCATGCCCATCCCAACCCTTTCATTAATTTCTCTGAAAAAATCAATATGAAAAACAGACATCAGTAAACAATAACATATCTGACAAAGGTTCATTTTGTCATTCAGTCTCCATTGTTTACAGGAGTTTGGAGGTTAGAATGCTCTACCTGGCTTGAACTTCATTGAAGATGTCAAGCCCGCTCTGGGGAATTTCAGGGAAGGCAAGTGTACTGATATCAATGTCACTTGTTTGAAGCGAATGCGCAGGACCTGCCCGGGCCTGATCCTGGACTCCCAGCCCAGCATCCAAAATGTCAATCTCAATGCTTTCATTGAATTCACTGAAAGAGATAGGATCAAAACCAAACGTCAGAACATTAAACAAACGAAACATATTAAGATTTTTAAGAGCACATTAAATAGTACATGCACAGAGCGGCTAGTAATTTATTTAGACAATTCGAGGTTACGTGTTACTTACTCGGCTTCAACGGGACGGTCGAGGTCGGCCTCTTCTTGGCTGGAGTGATGCCGAGGGCGCTTGTCACGCCTCGAACGATTTTCCCGATCCATTATATTAAAATTTTTTCCATAGGCAATTGCAGTGAGAAACGAAAACTGTCCAAAAAGACTACGGGCACACCGCGGCTAACAGGAGGCTTCAGGAGGAGAGCCGGCTGCTCGTTGTTGTCGGCCCGGCCGTCGCGGAGTGTCAACAAACGATAGGGGCAGGGGGCAGGATTGGCGAGCAGCTGAGGGAGGAACGCGGCGGGTATTGTTGTTGCCAACCTGCGGATGTCGAGGAACGAAACGAACTTTTCTAAAATAAAAATATTACACCGACATTAGGGAATATGTAAAGTTTTAATCACTGAAATATACATTATGTTCAACTTCAAGTAAAATTTCTTGCGTTATTATGTTTGAAAGAGATGTGATATCAAATTTTAAGGTTGGTCTGACTTTGTTTTGCCATCTTGCCCACCGCCATTCTGTGTTTGTGTGATATTTTTCTCGCTCATTCAAAAGTTCGACCACGGTGCCAGGTAAGTGGCAGGACAACAGAAATCCACTTTAACTGCGTTGTGAGTTTTGTTAATTCCGGTTGAATGACACAGGGAGAGGTTATTATGGCGCCACGACAGCCGTATGCCCTCATTTTTTCGAATGACCCCCCTGCCGCTGATATTGCCCGTAAGGATTTAATTGTACTTGGCCCGTTCGAGAAAGGAGCCGAGTGTCGGTTCAAATGGGCGGATCCGAAACTTCAGCCAAAAAAGGACAAGGACAAAAGTAAGCCGAAGCCCCCGCCAGTGTATGTGGAGGTAGAAGGCCGGATTATTGAAACTGGTGAGTGTGTGTGAACGTAGAGTTTAGTCTCTTGAAAAATTGCAAAACCCATTTCACATGCCGGTACCACATGGGTACAGAGGTTATCCAGTGAACATTAAAAAAAACTAATTTTCCTATTTTTTTTTCATTTAGGTACGAAAGTTAATTTGTCAAAGCTGCAAGTAAGTGATCATGGTGAAATTGTTGAATCTGGTGGAGTGGGCACGAAGGCTCAAGAGATTAAAAGACTAACTACCCTTCAAAACAATGCGGAAGTGAACCATCTCCAGGATGTAGCAGAGGAAATGCTGAGTAATGGACCAGGTCTGTATTCAGTTGTTAAATGACAATTTACTATCAATTGCTATCACATTTTGTACTGTAGTAATAAATAAGAACGGATCCACAATCTTTGAGCTAGTTTGAAAGAGTTATTGCCACAATGGACAAATTTGAATAACGTAGACTCTTAGCAAACAAAAGTTTAGGTTTTTTTAAAATTGAAAGTTTGTTATAGGTTATTATATTCCCTTCAGTTATCTATCATTTGTTATTAAAATTACCATTTGTGTTTTGTCGAACAGCTGCAACATACCAGAGAGTTCCTGTTGTATCAAGACTTCCAAAGAAAAGAAGTGCCGCTGCTAAAAAGAAAATTAAGTCAGACCTGTATAGGCTTCCATGCCTTAAACCACACAGCAATAGGGTAAGTCAGAATATATTTACCATTTTCCTT